CAACACTAATCACTTTCGAAGAACAATAGGATTTGCAGACTTACCTCCTTAAAAAAGGAGTTTTCCCCATAGTTCACAACTTCTACGTTCATCGAATGTTCCCATTTCAAAACTTCCATTTTGAGAGACTTTGCAACAACACTTACCGATGTTGACTTTCCTATAATGGTTATTAGTTCTCAGCCTATCTCCGGAAAATATAAAGCAATGAGAAAGAGTACGAACCACAGCCGGAAGGTCCAGTTACAAGCAGCGTCCCACCCTGCCCTTGGGTCAATAACGTTTTGAGCTGAATAGGTAATTGAAGCCTAACTTAAAGACCCTTTCACAGGAATACAGGAACTTACCTTACTAAGTTGCCTTGGATTAACTGCGAGCTCCTCTAACTTCTTCGGTGTAGTAGCAACGAAAAAAAGATCATGAACCTCGGGTAATGGTTTGGACCAAGCTACTGAACAAAGTAAAGATTAAATGGCCACTTCCGAAACAGAACTTTGCAACAGCCCATCCGTACCACAAAATCTTGACTCACTTTCTTTCTGTAATGCTCTCTCCAAATTGCGTGGGTGGAACTTGGGTTGCTGCCGTTGGCCGTAAAAAGCTTCAGGATTGTCTTGTGGATTGGGCTCTTGGTAGCTACATTGAGATGATGGATGAGACGATGGGCGTATTGTTTCGATGACTTCAATATCGTCATCACTTTCATCTTCAACTTTGACGACAATGGTCTTCCTTTTCTTCTTTGCCGGCTGAGAAGGCATCCTAAAAGGAACTATCAGCTTTTGATAGAGCTACTGAAGGTTCAACGTCCTAGATTTTAGTCTCTCAGAATCCACAAACTGGACAAAACCCTGAACCCTGAAGCAGAGTTCGATCATAATGGTCCGCATTAGGCCCCACTGCACGAAACTCTTCAAGGTCTCACTCCGATAGATTAGGAATATTGAAGGGTAAATAAGCACTTAATCGGTTACACTTCGCAATTAAGTGGGAATCGTAAAGAGGGGTAAAGGCACAATACTGGATGGAAGAGATCTGGGATCACCTTATCGATAAATTCATTGTCAATAAATGAAGGTGCCTATAATAATGGTCAAGCATGGGTTCCAGTGGCGACTAGGGAAGGATTTATTTATTATTCTGGATGAAAGAGATGGCATCAGTTCAAGAGCTGTTGAGCTTTCAAGAATATATCGCATAGCCCTAAAGCTGTAGAAATTTTCCTTACTTCCCATTCTGTCCGCTTTTCCTTCCACGGCAAAGGGGCAAAGGATAGTTCCGAGAACGATATGTTCCATCTAAGTCAGAATTCACTATCCCGGTTCATATTTTTACAACCCGAAAAGAACAAAAAAGGTATAAATAAAACAAGAAATGCAACCTAATGAGCTCGAGATTATGCGCTCTAAGTGAATTGCAAACGGAGCGTCAAATTTACTCCAGGGCAGATTTTTCGATAAGTATATTTTACTCTTTAGTTTCGTGCTTAATTACCTTTGCGTTCACAAAGAGTTCCTTGCAATCACCCGGAAAAGGTGCACTCTGATGGCTGGAACCTTCTGCATTGGGGTAATAAAAGTACCGTCTGTTTCCGTCCGTGCCCCCGATCTCAAGAGGTGTCGCGAGTGCCGCAAAACTTCTCGCAGCTACGCGCTCGGTTAACAATGGGGGCCGCAACAGCTGGATCATTGCCACCAAAATCAGTTTTAATTAGACTTGGACGTTAAACTTTATGCTCGTTATCACCTTAATTATGTTAACAGGTGTTGTCCCCATTTTTTTTAGTGGTTATTGCTTCCGCCGAAAAAGGAATCGTTTATGAGTGGGAATGTTTACGTACTTTTTTGTTTACGGACCCGCATCATGTAATGTTTACGTGTTCCTATTCATTGCTTTTTCAGGATAGCGAGCATGTTTCCTCGTAGAGCCTCATCGCTTCGGGAACGTGGTAGTGATGAGCCAACTTCTAGATTTAGATCAGACACTCCAAGGTTGGCTCCAATACGAACCACTTACATCGCCAACAAGTTTTCTCCACTCACAGTAAGTTCTTTTCATTGTAAAAATATTTTCATATTTTTATGTTAATACATTTATTAATACATTTGTATATATGCATAATTGGGTATGAGCAATTCATAGGTATCAGCCGAATAGGTCATATCTGCTTTTTATGCCATCCTCTGCTTGTTTCATATTTTTGCTCACGATAGAGATCGTAATTGACGAAGTAGCGCCATTGTTCTTGTTGCGCTATAATTATTTTACGAGGGAGTTTGATAATTTGGTCATTGAACTTTTCTTTTCTTTTCTTTGAACTCTGCCCCACATTCAAATAGCTTCAACGAAATGCTCGATCAAATTCAGCAATAAGGGGGTAATGAGTAGATATTATCCATACAAATTATTTGCTCTTTATTGCTAAGTCGAAACGTAAATATGATGTTTTGATGGATTGTTAATGGATGTTAATAATTCCGCATATTGGGAGCATTTTTGCACGGATTAATAGGTGTGGCACATTTTTCAAGTTCAAAATTAGATTTCTTAGATTAGGTAAGAGTTTTCTCACTACATTACCCTTGATATTTTATTCGAAATTTAGAAGCTTTTGATCTTTTCTCTGTATCCACAATGCAATAGCAAGTTCGTTTAGCTGCAGTTTCCTTGCAAACCATTATAACTGCAGCCCAGCTGATCAGATGAAGCTCATTTTTTTACTTTAGCTTGCAGATCTTTGCAAAAAAGCAACTTATAGATTTCTTCTTTTTGCCGATTTGTGGTGGTACGAACACTCGTTTTAGTGCTGTTCTAAATGTATCTTTTTTGAACCCATTCCCGTTATTTGTTTTGAAGGCTTAGTAGGCTTCCGAATATCACTGCGTTCTGAGTAGGAGTGGAATGCTCTGGCATATCTAATCAGTATTAAAAGGCTCTGAGACATTAGTCTTTTTCTTCAGTATATAATAACAGTTGTGGCCAAATTATTGCGAAAGGCCTTGTGATATTGTATTTATCTATTTTATATTTATTTCAGAGACAAATTGTGACGTATCGAGGGAAAAACCCAGCACCTTCGCGTGCCTCGTTGAAAACGCCATCAGCAGCTCAATCTCAAACTGTAACAGAGATGGATATGCCATTCCCAAGATTGGTATGCAGGACTTCATGTGCAACTGGTCTAATGAGAGGCTTTTCGCTTATTACTGCTCCTTTTCAGGTTGAAGAAACATCCACGTCAAGAGCGGCTTGTTCAAGTGGCATCGTCCGTTTTCCTATCAGTGCAGCGCAGCAGGGTGGACGATACCTTCTTCGAATACCAAAAAATGATATGTACGTGAGAATTTTCGGTTTTTTCTGGCGTTCTTTGGTTAACTCACGGCTCTGCTTTGCTTTGAAATCAGTTTTTTGCAGAGGAAGTAAACAGCTGCAAACAAGTTCGTCAACAGAAAGGATGCTGATACCGACTGTTCCTCCCAGTATGTCCATGGGCGGGGAATATTCTGCCGATGAATATGAAATTGTATACGAAAGTGGTAAATACTACGCTAAATATTACGATCTTTTTGTGATTGATGAGTTGTTCTATAAATATTTTCCAGATGGAAATTCACCTTTATGTCTAGAAGAACCAGAAATCCACGACGATGGGTATTATCAGGATGCCACTGACAAAAATAGATTCTAGTTCGTAAAAATCCAAATTATTTGAATGCTTTTTGGCTAAAGATTGCTCAGTCAACGGTGTTGCAATTGTTTTTAGCTGTTCGGAGATAACGTGCTTTTGGCACGGGCCTACACAAGCTTCTTTACGGCGGCATATGATGATCACACACAGCCGGAATGTTAACAATGGAGGAATACGGGCATGTGGTAGTCAAACGATACGTCGTTCTACGAAACCAAAAGGAGTATGTGTACTATTTCTATTACGCCTTCATTGAGATGGATAGCATTGGTTGATAACCTTTTTGGGGAGAGAAGCTATAGGCAATTGTGCGGTCATTCATGTAATGAAAAGCGGTGCTCGTGCCATTAGAATTGTCTTTTGTGAAACTGCAGACATTTTTGTCGCACTGGGAGACTGGCAAAAACTCGCCTCAATCTTCTTGGAACAGTCTGTGCATGGGAACTGTGTTTCAGTAAGAGAGTAACAGGTGTTGGTCACGGCTTTTGAAGAAAAATATCGTCTATTCCTTTTATATTCTGAATATTTGGTGAATAGGAATCATCAAATTTGGCTATTTTTCAGGTAAAATGCAGCGAATGTGATGAAATGGCCTACTCCCGGCCATTATTGTTGCGGCACATGACTCAAGTTCATGGGATCGTTGCTCCGTTGATCTATAAAACATTTTCTGATCGTGAAAAACTTCAGGTATAATTTCGATCATTAGTAGTTGTTGACTGAAAAGATCGCTTCAAATTTTTCTCATTTACAGATATGGTTAGAACAACTTCGCGAGACTCATGCTATCGAATTTGTAGTTTCTTCCGGATCCAAAAAGTGGGGTCAAGGTCTTCAGGTGAGAGCTCCTTCTCTGAACTAATTGTATTTCTCAGTTACTTTCTTTATGCATTATTTCTCAATTCGATTCTTATCCTTCGTCACTGCCCTCTTTTTGTGTTTTAATTTTTCCGCCTCAGACGGTATTAGCCATGTTTCGATTATTGGCGGTATGCCAGAATATTGCTTGATATTATGAAGTTGGATTTCCTTCAGGTTCACTATCTTACTTGTTCACGAAGTGGAGAGCAAAAAGAGCGGCCCAATAAGAAATTCCGGCGGCCAACACGTCCATCGATAAAATGCGGGAAGAACTGCATGGCTTATTTGAAGGTAATATGGAGTAGTTGAATATAAGGTAGAACAAAATCCCGAATTTTCGAATGAACACCATAAAGCATCAGAAGTATTGCCTGGTAGTTTTAACAGACGGGTAATATGCTTAAAATAAAATGGGATCAGGTGGCTTGTGTAAAAAGCATAAACATGAACAAAAAATGATAACAGCTGTGACTTTAAACGTTTGCAATTGACCCAGAGGCTAAAGAATATTTTTATATGCTTGTATTTTAATTGATACAGATCAGGAGGAGAGTTTCTTGAAACCTATCATAAGGAAATTAGATTGTGCACTAAAGCAACAGCATGACCTCATCTTAATATGGACTCTTCAAGATGAAACAAAATCCAACGGTTTCTGAACTGAAAATCGAAGCATGTCTACATCATAGTGGTCACGAAATCGATGCTTCAAAGATTCGTCTAGAGAGGAATGAGGTCAGTTCCTTGCCAGTTGCCAAGCAAACCCGATTGCCAAGCATCATTTCTCTCCTTTATGAACTTGCACCATACTTACAGAATATAACTATTTCAGTGGTGCCGAGTAATACAACTTATAAGAGAAATCGATGAAGGCCTTTTGCAAATCGACTTGCAACATATGACACGTATCAGAGGTAAGTCTTTTCACTGCTTCCTATGAGTCTTTCGCCACTATTGGGCCTGACGTAATTTGAAATGGCTTGATTAGTGTTACTGCGCTCTTACACTTGTGGAATTTTCGGGAACAGGCTTCAAAAATACAAGTAATACTACTGTAACTATTATATTACATAGTGCAATAGCGTAGAAACAAAAGCACTATGAAGGATCACTTAAAGTTTATTAAATAATCACCTTCTACTTCTTTTGCAAATATGGTCCTCCTCGTGAAAGTCTTCTAATATGTCCGGAGGGGGCTGGACTGTTTTTGTTGGGGCTTAGTGCTATGGTCCTAAATTATTCGTCTTGAAAACAAGCCGTTGCTGTGCCTCACGCGCACTGTTGACTAGACTGGATTCTCTCTTTTCCAGAAATTCTTGGTAATAATGGACGGTTCCGGTTGATGACTGACGAAGGTCTATGTCAGCAATTGCCGAAATGGATAGAACAGGTCCATATTTGATTTATTTATGCGAAACCTTCGTACTTTCCAGAACTTACTTTTTCCTGTGTTATATAAGTAAACAGCTATTCATTGTGAATATTCCGGTCTTTCTTTACAATGACGGGAATAACATCATATCAGGTAATCGGAAAGAATGTAAGTTCAAGGGATTTCAAAAGGAGCTGAATTCACATGCTCAGGTACCATGGCGTGCGCCAATGTCTAGGGTCCCTTATTTTTAGAAAACGTCCTAAGAGCTAAAGTCTGCCTGATCCTGGGTTCACTGGTTGAGTTTACTGGTCCAGTGTCATTTTCCATTCCATTCTCCCACCTCCCTCCTCTTCCCACCTTTTTTTATTCGCGGGTAGTTGAGAATGCTGAAATAGGCAAATCCTGTATAGGTCTTACTGTTCGGCTCTAACTCTTATCACCACATCTGAGATCGAGAAAATTAAGTGATTGATGTTTTCAGAATATGGACTACTTGAAATGTGAAATCGGCTCGTTCACTTTTGATTCTGAAAGAAAATTTCAGTACTCGCCTCAGGAAGAATTAGAATTATCTGAAGTGAATCTCGAGCCAGAAATTGAAATTGAAGAAGACTCATTGCTCAGTGGATACAATGCAAATATGTCGCTTGAGCCAAATCTCCTTTTGGATGCGTTCCAAAACTATGCAATGGAGGTAATGGGTTCTTGAGTAATTTTTCTCGGCTCTAAAATTATTTGAAACATTTCAGTGCCTTCCATATGATTTCATGAGTGACCTCGAACCGAAAAGTAATATCGCCGTTAAAGGATAGTCTTGTATGTGCCTTCTATCAGATGAGGCCATATTTGGTGCCTTCCGATAGCTGCGCAATATTGTGACCAGATAAACGCAGCACGGTAGTTTGTGCTCCGCAGATTCGTTATAGAATTGTTTTGTTAGGATAATGTGTAGAGTTTCTAGATTAAAGTTTTATTAACATCGCCTACTCGGTAACTACTGTGTACACAAAAACTTAAAAAGATATCGGCTGTTGCTTTGCTTCACAGAATGATAATTTCTGTCTACTGTACTTTTTACGGCGGAAAGTGTTTGGGAAAAGAGTGTCGGCAAATTTGGTGGGTTAAGATGGTCTTATTGGCACTATGAAATTAATGTCTTTAAGGAAGATTCCCTGATTTTGGAAGCGCGATGCAGGGGAACACAGGTTCTTAGGATTGGTGAGCGTTAGGAAAGGTCTCAAACCTCTTGCAGTTACTGCAACACCATCTTCTTTTTTTCAATTGTATCAGATACATTCTCTCATTGACTTTTTGGGAAAGGCGGAGGTGATGTAGTGGCAAGTGGCGCACTAATCCACACGCATGGTCGCGTGTTCGAAACCCGGATCGATATCCACTTACGCCAACCAAGCCTTCCATCCCTCCGGGGTCGGTTAATGGGTACCAGACTCTGGGAGGATAAAAGCTCTGACTTGTACATGGGCTGGCAAGCGCAAGTCATTGTATCGGCTACATACGCATTCAATACGGCAGTACGATTCAGAATGGAAGTCGAGTGCGAGAGCGCATACCTCAGACGAGACTGATTGAACGCCCTAGGACTTAATCTTTTTAGTCTTCTTGGCGTCTTTTTGGGGTCATTCGCTTACTGGTGCGAGGCCAGGTTTCGTTCGAGGCGCTGGTCCTCTAGTGTCCTCAATGGTGATGGGGTCGTCCGTTCCTCATTTTGGGGTGTTCCCAGTGATTCAGAAATGTCAGTGAGAGTAATACTGTGTTTTCCTCCTACTTCGGGCTGTGTTATGGCTTCGTCACGTACCGAATCCAGCACATTCCCCAAATAGGAACGGTATAGAGCCCTATGGACGGTCCAGAGCCCTATGATGACTCCCATGCACGTGTTCGACCTTCCCGTATACGTTGACGGTGTTCGATCATCGCTCTTGGAAAAGGAGATCTGTGCTGTGAAAGGCAACGAAATCATTTGAACGCTTTATGAATGCTGGGAAGATTGCATCTGAGATTGTAGGCGAAAATGGAAGTAAATCAAAGGTTTATCGTTTGAGGGAAGCTGTCCTTCGATGAAACTTCGTCACAGTTTAGTACTCATCTAGGTCTTCCATGATGGATTCGTTCGCTATCTGCAATTTGTCGCAATCAAAGGAGAATCGAGTGTACCCACAACCCAAATGTTCTGCACCTCTTCATAATCCTTTTCCAAAGCAGCCATATCTTCCCGTGCCTCATAAAACTCTCCTTCTTCCATACCCTCTCCTAGATACCTGAAAGAAGCGTTCACAAAAGCTCCTTCGCTACCGTTCCCACGTGAAGCCTTCCATAGATTTCAGAATGACCCTGAGTGGTGGTAAAGCGGTAAGCACTTACCAATGAACGAATGCTCTTTTTGCGTACATGAGGTCAAACTTATGATTGAGGCGAGCCCAAGCTTCCGCAATCACCGTATTGTTCGACAGCATACATGCTGCTCGTGGAACTGGCGCTATTCCACTTCCTGGGACGGCTGTGGGCGGTTTCTGATTGATTCCCACCTTGAAAAGTCCCATTCGTTTCAGACTTCGTAGGACAGGGAGCGAACGAATACCCGACCTTGAAGCCGGTAGGACACCAACTGACGAATTCGAGCACATGCGTCCCTTTGATGTGTTCAATAGCGCTATTAACATCTTTTGGGACAACGTCGCCTCTGAAATTCATTAGCTTATAGGAGTTTTATCCATTTTTGGCGGACACACTGAGCGAGTCTTGGCTAAACCTTGGAGGACATACTGTATTCTCAGGAGTGGGTCCCAACTGTATTCTCAGGAGTGGGTCCCACCACTCGAGTAATGGGAGTGTGGTGCAGTAGGAACGAAATTGCCGCGTCGCGGCGAGAGGACGCCGCGCGCGAAGGAATGTAGCAGAATGCAGCAGCAAGTAAGAAATTCAGGAACAAAAGAAGTAATAGTAGAATCATGCTAAAAGTAATAATCGCATAGCGATTGAGCTGTATGAAGAACACTAGAACTGAATAACTAGGCGAATGGTCCGCGACAGCGGCGATCGATTACACAATACCGTTCCCACTGCCCGTCTCCCAAGTTGATGGAGGTTTTTTCAGGGGCTGTGAAGAGCCCATTATACCTGTACAATAAGCAAACAGCCATATTTTTGCCTTCCCTCAGGTCACATTTCACCATTTGGCTGGTGGTCTCCAAACACATCGTTGTGATGTCTTTTACTGTGACCGCTTCGTGATGTACCTATAGAGGATCAGCATAGAGGAAGACATTTAAGAAGGCTCACTGAAATTTCCCACTTGATCTTCCCCAAATAAGGGGCTCACAGCCACTAAAGGAAAGTGTATACGTGGGAAAGGGACGAGATTTGTAGAAAATTCATTGAGATCCACATTTAGTTCACCACTATAGCGTATCGAGGCGGTCATAGACGATACTACCTGAACATATGGATTTTGGTGATCTCTTGACTTCTGGAAAAGAAAGGCTGGAAAGAAAAGTCTGGCGAATGCCTATGTTCCTTTAATTTTAGATAGATAAAGTCCTGGGGCGTTAATCAACTCCGTCTGAGGTGTGGAAGGCTTGGTTGGCCTAGGCGGATATCGATCCGGGATTCGAACCTCTGACCGTGCGTGTGAGATAGTGCGCCACTTGCCACTACATCACCTCCGCCCTACCCTTTTCCTTCAAATTTAGAGTAAAAGAAGTATCCAACACACCTGTGCAATTATTCTGTTGTAATTAATATAATCAGAGACTTTCTTTTTCAGCCGTAAAGAGCAGATATCATTAATTGCGTCGTTGTCCATAAGAAAACTACAATCTGAGTTCTCGAGCGTATCATGAGTGGCCAAGATGGCATTATACGGCTCTACCACGGCAGTTGAAGTCTGAACTAGGCTGCCATTAGAGACGCAGCTTGGAAGCGAAGTATAAACCGCTGCTGAGCATCCTACCAAAGGAGCTGGATATATGGAGAATTCCAGTTTATTCGTTTTTCCATATTCCTGACATAGATGTTCCATTATTAATGCCTCATAACCTGAGCCAGTACCACCGCCAAGTGAGTGGAATATCAGAAAACCTTGTAAACTCGAACAATTTTCCACCATATGTCGAATACTGTTCAGGACATTATTCACATTTGCCTGAAAGGGAAACCATCCACTTTTCAACAAACCGAACTTCAGGGAGAATCTAGAGTAATGCGGTCACTAGCCTTTCCAACAGTATAGAACCCTCTAGCAAAATTATTCGCAGCATCTTCTTTACCATATATCATTTGTTCTGGGCTGAACAGTTCCTTGTACAGGCCAGTCCGTATTTCCTCTGAAAACTAAGAATATGAGGGAGGGTTTGACAAGGTTTCTCATCGGAACAACTCTTAAGGGGTAAAAAGACTGGGAAAAAAGTACAACCCTGGCAGAGGAAGGTTTTACTCTCCAGAAAGCTTAATCAAAATCCTGATAAGCTGTCAGTTATCCATGTCAAAAGCATGTGACAAAATGCACCGTGACGGCCCCTCTTGTCGCCGTACGTAGCCGTCCACACAACCGCCGCCACTACTGGCTGCTTTCATAGTCCACGGCCAGTCGCGCGACTGGTCGCTCGCAAAATCGTGGACTATGAAAGATGGTACTCGTATCAGAACCCTCCGCCCTCTGCACTTCGAAGGGAAAATTGCTGACCCACACGAGTGGCGACCCAGTTTCGATGCGCTGGCACATCCTGACCTTAACTTACTGTCAGTCGTGTGCACTGATTGCAGTTTAGGGTTGCAAATTAGATTCCAACTCTAGGACACTACCATTAGTACTATGTTATCCTTGCTTCTTACACTTGACAGTTCTGAGATGATATGATTCGATGGGAGAGTCGCTGTGTGGATAAAGGCAATATGAATAAACGGGTCATTGCGAATCTCAGAGGTGAACTGTAAAGCTGAGGCAACAATGAGAATTCCACAGCTGTTTACTTCCCTCGAACTGTTCCGTATGACAACTATCCTTCATTGATCCTTGGTTACTGCCAGTTACAGAAAGGTTAGAGTACATATACCAACCACGTATTGGTAATGATTGAAGACTCTTGTTCTGAAGTGAGGCGGAGCGCTGCGCCAAGACTCGTATGAAAAGGATTACAATTTTTTCCATTCGTGCGACGCTTAACGCGATTTCGCCAACTGTAAACGCTGCCACTGATGATTTCGAAGTTCACATAAGAGACCCCTATGNCAGTCGTGTGCACTGATTGCAGTTTAGGGTTGCAAATTAGATTCCAACTCTAGGACCCTACCATTAGTACTATGTTGTCCTTGCTTCTTACACTTGACAGTTCTGAGATGATATGATTCTATGGGAGAGTCGCTGTGTGGATAAAGGCAATATGAATAAACGGGTCATTGCGAATCTCAGAGGTGAACTGTAAAGCTGAGGCAACAATGAGAATTCCACAGCTGTTTACTTCCCTCGAACTGTTCCGTATGACAACTACCCTTCATTGATCCTTGGTTACTGCCAGTTACAGAAAAGTTAGAGTACATATACCAACCACGTTTTGGTAATGATTGAAGACTCTTGTTCTGAAGTGAGGCGGAGCGCTGCGCCAAGACTCGTATGGAAAGGATTACAATTTTTTCCATTCATGCGACGCTTAACGCGATTTCGCCAACTGTAAACGCTGCCACTGATGATTTCGAAGTTCACATAAGAGACGACCCTATGTTGAGCAAATATTTCGATATCAGCGTTCATCCGTATATGATCGATAGTCTATTTTTCATGCACACTCCGCATTCCGGTTGTCTATTCTTTGGAACAACCTATTCTTCGTTACCTGAGCACCAATTGAGCAAGAAGGGTCCAGTGATTAGGACAAGGATTAATCCGTAACCGAAAAGAAAGATCCTAAGGCTCCTAAGTCTGCTCCAAAATCAGATTCGGTAATACTTACCAATGACAGTCGGTTCAAGATCAGCCAACGTGGCTCTGGGCACATATCGTCCTCCATAGGTTTCAGAAAAGAACGTCTGTTCACTGCCGGGTTCAATGTTCTCATGACTCCCTAGTGGTGTACCATCGGGGCTGATCCCATGCTCGTAGCATAGCAATTCCCAACAGGCGTTTCCAATTTGTACGCCAGCTTGGCCAACATGGACGGAAACGACTTCACGCTGAAAGCTATTTACTTTATGATGTCAGATTTCCAACTTTTTCGAGATCGAATTCGATTTTACTAGAAACCAACCATTTGTTCCTCTTAAATAGATGGGGGCCAACGACGGAATTACCTAGAACATTCGATGACACTTCCTTAGTACTTGTAGGAAAGACACAGAACATCACCAACCGAGTTGTAGGGATGTAGTCAAAGTGACTGATGGGGAATCGGTCGAATAGTTTTCAGGTATCCTGCCTGTCGCTATCATTCTCCAAGTGTTAATCAAACAAACATATCAAATCGACATATGTAGTGGATAAATGAAGGTTAGAGCCACTGGCTTTGATCAATCCGATCTGAGGAATACGCCCGCATTCAACTTCTATTCAGGATCATAGATCAATCAGCCGATTCAGAAGGATGGAAGGCTTGATTGGCCTAGATGGATATCGATCCGGGATTCGAACTTGTGACCAAGCTTGAGTGACAGAGCGCCACTTGCCTCTACACCAAGTGCCTGCCTCCGCTTGACCACAAGCTACTTTATATCGTGTTCAGAAGGATTACTCCTAAATAAATTGAGCTTATCGTCCATGCGGGTCCAAACCAGAGCTGATATTTCATTCTGCCCCTCGATCTGGATACCGATTCTCACCACATAACATTGCAAATTAATAGCTGTGAGAGCATGTTACGACCATTTTTTATCATTTTACTTCGACACATTTTCAACACAATGAAAGGCGTTGTAAACTTGTATTAGATCCCAACATCCTTCCTTTATACGAAGAGTTACTTCCATGGGGAGATCGTCGTAAAGCTTGAGATCATGGTACGTCGTTCTAAATACTCGCAAAATCAATAAATCGATAAGTTTTTTTAGAATGTTTTGCAGAATGTAGGCTCTAAATGAAAGGAGCCTAAATACTGAATATGAAAATTTGATTCATTCATTTTCATTGAATTGAGGAGTTGCTTACCCTTTGACAATGACGATGAGCAATATTCCGTGAGTACATTTTATATATACGGTATCCTTTGATATTTTATAACGCACTGATAATGATTGAGACGGACCATTCCCACGATTGAGGAAAGGCCCACAGGCAAACAGACAGGTGGAAAATTTGTCAAAAAAGGGAAAGGGTTCTCCTGAATTCGCTACTGCGCCATCTTCATTGCCATGGCACAAACTGAAAAGAAACTTCAAAATCATTACAAAATTGTCAATTCCGCTCTATCCCGTAAACAAATAAATGGAACATCCGGGAAAAATGGGAAGAAAAGTCGCGAAATTGACAAACCTTATCGCATTTGAGTGTTCACTCATAATCCCTCGCGCAAAATGGAAAGCTCCTAACTGAAAAATCTATTTTAGATAGAAACCGAGGAAAAGATCAGTGTAAAGGGATCAAAAAACACAGCTAGAGAGATAAAGGATAAAGAGCTTTTTGCTGATTGACCAGTCGCTCAGAATAAGCCATGCATTTGAGATTGTGAAAATTTTGAGGGGGCCTACATAAATTCTTCAGCCCCCCCCCNCCCCCCCCCCGTCCCAGTTCGTCAGACTGAGAACGAGTTTTTGATTTCACAAGAAATACAAAAGCGAAGTTGTTTGAAAAATATCCCTGCCCAGTTGTGCAAAGCTTGTCATCCCCACCTACCATACCTCAAGCCACCAACGCCCATGTTCCCAGCAGCAAACCTTATTCAAAGCCTGTCCGTAGGGTAGCTATAGACAGCTAAACTGGTGAAAACGAGATCTATGTTTGTTGTCTGTTTTCTGTTCTCTGAAGAAGACACCGGTTTTATTTTCGATACTGTGAACCTATGCCCGAACTGACGGAACTTCATATTGAGAGGTGATTTGATATGGTTGTTTGAGCGAAAAGAATACTGACTTAAAATTTAACTGGACACTACAAATCACAGTGTGGAGTGGGAACACATACAAATATCTCTGCAATTCTGACTGGGAACCGAGTGTGTGCCGCACACCAGAAAAATCAACAGCCGACCACTCTTAGTTCGCAATGCATTCAGTTATATGTCAGAATCTGAGCATTCCCCGGCTAATGCATACCACTATAACGCCATGAAAAGATCCGGCGCATAACTTTGGACCCAAAAGAGCAGAGGCACTTTATTGTGCTATTCTTCGTTTACTGAGCCAAAATTGTCAACCAAGCCAAGGTCTAACGCCATAACGCAATGGTACTCACCAAATGGCCAATCTCATGAAGTGCAGCTCCAACTCCAAGTCCTATGGAGCGTAATTCATCGACTGATCCACACGACAACAATTCCTTGTAGTGTCTGTTCAACTTTGGCAGCGTTACCACAGCTATACCATGTTCAAAAAATGAAATGGTGGTGGTATCAGCTCTTCCGCTCAGAAAGCAAACGTGATGACCACCGTGAGCCCTAAACAACTCTCATTGAGGGCATTATAGCGCTCCTTTTAGATTGAGATTCTGCAAGAATACCAATATTAGTGGTAATAGTAGTTCTTTAAGCGCACAAAGCGTGCTCAACTTCGGCAGGATGCCTCGTTATAGGGCAGTTTAAATAATGGATAAGCATGATTAGAAGTAGATTCTTGAGAAAATATCCAAGGAAAATCTAGGTTTGTGACCTTTCCTCCTTCCTCTTCCCCTTCCGTAACAGGAGGGTGAGCTTGGTTGCCTTAATTATTTTATTCAGCTTTAAAAGGCCAGTCCAACATCTCAAACGCCAGCTGGGATTCCGAACTAATACATTCCGAACTAATACATTCCGAGCTAATACAAGTGGAAGTAAAATAATGGATTTAGATGGATCTTACTGGTTGTTGGTTGTTCAAAAGTGGATAGAAACAAGTATGCTTTACCTGATATTAGCAAGGAGTCGATTCAGATCTGTCACACCCCTATGTATCGTCACAGACTCGTCGAATCGAAGGCACCGTGGTTTCAGGTGGCTGAAAGTGATGCTCAATACATTTTAACTATCTGCGTATTAGTCGAAGGGAAATTACCGATGACATACCTATGTATGTGCTGATGACAGTGAATAAAATCTTCGACTGTTTTTTGGATGAAATCGCGAACAAGTTTCACTGGAACGAATAATTACTGAGTACATACTATAGGGTACAGCTATACCTAAATAAAAGGACCACCTGTAAAGCTAATGAAATCAGTCAGGAATGATTCTGGGGTATCCAACTTGTTGTCAACGGTAAGAACCAAATGTACATGAATTACATAACTGCTCTGAAAAGCCATAATCCAATTTGAAAATAGATTAAGACGGGTACTGAGGAAAAATTGAACTGAGCAAGTTGATTACCATTGGCCGAGATACAATTATAACTAAATGACGCTGATGGACCGAGAATCTTTAGGGTTAGCACTTGACTCTGTAGTTCTCTGACTGATCCTGAACTGTGGAACTATAAACCGTTCTCGACAACCCTGTTATTACTTTTATACCAATAGATTCGATGTCAACAGAATGCTGAACATATATGGGATATCCCATCTCTAGCTCCAAGCCCATCACATTAATGCGCATAAAAGACAAGAAAGCGTAAAAGTCAACATTTATTATACATTCAACAACAATCAGATTCAGACAAAACGACAACAATCAGATTGTCTTCAAGTGAATAAATTAAACACCAGTAACCAACAACTAATTAGTCTTCTTTGAGGTTGTTGCCGTTGGCTTGGGCGGTTCTTTGTAGTGGAGGAACACCAGAGAGAACAGCACCACCCCGAACATCATGGAGAACGATGATGCATAGTAAGGATATGCCGACCGGATGAATCGTTCATATTGCGTGTGCAGTAGGGGACGAACAGACACCTAAACACCACCATTCAATACGCAAAGCCACATGAAGGAAGAAGCCCAGGGAAAGCCTACCTGCTGCACATCATAAAGGTGCGTATATCCAACCCTACGGTAATCAACTAGGAATTTGTATATTCCGTACACATCCGGCAGCTTGAAACGTGTGGAAAATCGACCATTCTAAAATTTCACGATTAAAATGGCAACAAAACGATATCCGAATGTACCCGACCTTCCCCACAAGAGTTGTCCTGACGAAAGGATCAATGCGCACAAATTCGAGTTGAACGTCCTTCTCATTGAACGGTCGCCATTTTCCATCCTTGAGCTCTTCTATCTCGATTGCGTATTCCTTAAACCATACACAATCAGGAATCGGACGGAAGACGGAACGACTTCACCACTTACCACTTCGTCCATGATAGTGTACTCTCTCGGCACTTCTTTGTTACCGGCCAAGTGATGCTCAACCTTCTTCACCCGTAACACACCGTTCTCCTTCAGTACCCATTTGGACAACGCGGTCACAAGTTCCAGATTGCCCGATCGGACAGGACTAAATCACGAATAACACAATTACGACATTGACAATCAAAGCAGAAAAATGAAGTTTTTAGAACTAAACAAATTCGATTATTAAAAAGTTATCGACTGAAATTAAGATTGCTGCAGCGCTTCATTTGTATTTATCTTTTTGCTACAACCGCTAATAGATCCAGCCAACGTATGAAGCTCTTTTTATTTTTCTCCCGCAACAGGCCGGCACCATTGAAACATCACCGACGAAAGCTCGATCAAAAGGGATGTTTTGCTATGGTGCCCGATAGGCGATAGCTACGGTCGTAAAAAAAAACACCATCTTTCCAAAATCCATGTTCATACAGCAAACATTACTTAACTAAATTACGAAACCTTTGGAAATTGAAAAATTTGTTTTGAGCCGTTGAAGGCTGATCATTGTCTGCATTACGATTGCAGTCACCCAGTTTTCGAACTCCACAATAAACGTACGACTACCAGAAGTTAGAGAAATTGTTGGAAGGAACCAGCGACAACTTACTCCTCGTTACTTCCAACTTTGTAGACATTTGCTGATAGATATTCATCGGAGAACATTTCCAATGAGCCAGTAAAAACGACTCGAGCATTATTCCTTGCTTGCACTGCACCAATCATCAGTATCTGTTGCCCGAGCGCATTGGGATACTGAAACAAATGCGGATACTAATTTTTCTTTTAAACCAATAAAATTGATAAAAACGCGAGATCAGATGAAGGCAACAGTGAGAAAGAGAAAAACTGCTAAGTGAGTAGAAACTGCTTTCAAAAGAAAATTTACCTCATCTACGGCAACAGATGGTCTGTATGAGTAAGCCGTCGATGCCGCACGCAGTACTTCTAGGCGAAGACGATTATTCTTGTGTGCAATCAAGGCGGTACCCTATAATATCTCATTTTCACCCGGTAGGAATAGAAGTTCTTTTATTTCCATACCTTAAACAAGACTGGATTCATCTTAGTAGTTTCACCGACCACAAGCTGGGCATTCAGTAGTTGCTGCTTTGAAGCAACAATCGTGGTGTGATAGCCATCGTCCTAGAGCAAGTACACACAAAATTCATGTTTCTGGATAATTTGAAAAGAAGCAAACGTACAAGAAGCATATCGTAGTTGTTATGGTCAATAACCATAGTATCAGGTTCGTCAAACTCGAAGCCATGTTGTAAAGCTAGTTCACGGATTGCGTTGCCAAGATTTGAGCCTCCAGCCACTAGCAGATTACCTCCTTCATCAACAAACCGGGTTATTTCTTCAACGTTGACGGAACCACCGAACTCTGAAAACAGTCAATAACAATATATACACTTACAGAACCAGATAAGATTCATTATACGAACGTCTCTAACTCGTATATCAAACATTTATTGGTAAAAAAAACGTTGTGCTTCAGAAGGGTTTTTCGAACTGCAGAATCAAGAGTTAGACATCAGCTCGATTCTGTCAACTATTTCGATCTTTATAACGTCACCGCCGAATTCCCTATGCAACAAAATCCTAGTTGAAGCCTATTGGGACCCGAGTCTCAAGAAATAAAAAGAGAATTGGTGCGATGTCATGTAGCCAGCGCCACTCAAACCAAACTTTGTTCTAGTTACAGAGTCGGCAAACCGGCAAATTTCGTAAAACATCGGACGACCTTTCGATTTTTATATCCTACTGCGGATCCATACAGACACGAAGTATCAACTCGGAGGGCAATTAAGTCACCGAGTACATTAATTCCAACTCTATACAAATCTCAATATTACTAATATTATCTGAAAACGATGAAGCTCTCTATCACCGGTGGCATAAGGAAACGTCGCGATAACGGCAATAGCAGGGACCAAAAAAGTTAGATAGGCCAACGGTTGTAGAATAAAAGCCTAGCCATTCCATTCTTTTTATACGTAAAATAATGACATGTCCTGAGTGGAGCCTACCTTCCACCGACGGTGCAAAAATAATCAGGTGATCAAAATTCCTTTCTCCAAATTTGATCAAAGAAAGCGAAGGATCGTCCGCAGTGCGAAAAACTAGCTGATGACCGCGATCTAAACGAGTCATATCTGGGGATTATTTCGTGCATCTTCTATTTCCTAATTTCTCACAAACCTTGAAGAGAGCGGAAAAACAGCGAATGAGTTTCTCTGGCACTCAAGCACTCGACCAGCACAAGGATTCTATCAGCATTTATTAGAGAAATGAGTGTGGAAATGAGGATTAGCAACCTCATTGTGGCTGTGTACCTTGAAATAGCAAAAATTCCTAGAAGACTCCTGATTCCAGAAAATTACGGGTGCAAAAAAAAAATGCCGAACAACGACACGCCACGTATCACAATAGCACAATCGCTGGCGGACCGGACAACTGTTACTGAAGGTCTTTGGACAGACACCAGACTCCAGACTAGTATTGTGCAACACAAGCTTGCAAAAGGGTTTCTAATTCCAAAATTGGTTAAGAAATTAGAAATTATGCATAACATCCAACAAGCTTAACAAGTCCGAACACACAAATCAATTCGATTCACTTTTGGGAACAGTTGTCCGGGACCACCCAAGAATACCATCTTCATCTGAAGCGATAAGATAAGACACATTTAGCAAAATAGATGAGGAAATAAATAACTTAAACTGTTATAAATAATTGGAAATAAAGTTAAAATCATGTGCAGCTTATAATCCATAAGCATGCAGCACAACATAAAGCGTTCAGTGGAAAAAAGGAAAAGCATATCAACGAATTCGTAGAAAAAAATGGAAGTATACCCGTACTTTGAAAATCTTTAATTATACAAAGCACATAATGCAATGAGACACCGAAAATCCTAGAAAAATCGAGGGTTCGTAACTAGATGAACGGTTCTTTAACTAGACGCAGACGATGAGCGATCAATCGTAAGCTGTATCGTAAAATCAATCAATTACAACGAAATTGAACTCGGTGAGATTCATCCGCATCGATCGTTGAATACGCCATGAAAGAAATGATTTAATCTTTAACAAAAGTCAGAATTGGCAAATGGTTGGGCGCTAACACTACACAAGGTGCGTGTACTCCACTATTTACAGAAGTAACCCGCACTAAATACCCTACACCAGGTATTAAACGACTAAAACTATTGAACAACACCCTACCAAGCCTACAATCAAAAATTACACCGTCATCAAATCAGATTTAGAAACTTGACGATCGCTGTGAACAAACAAGCGATAAAGTGAAAGTTAATGGTAGTGCGGTAAGATTAGAGTACGTATGCTTTTCTTCTACCAAGCCTTTATAAACAGTAGCAATTCAGAGAAGAGGTATAACAGATCAGCGACACATAGTGGCATCAATTTGCTTAACCTGCGGAAGAGTGAGCATCACTTTTCTCCGGTAACCAGTTCGATCTTCTTCATAAATGGGATTCCGTTCCAGGTATACTGTATCCAATTTCGGTAATCCACGAAGTTTCTCTACTTCAGCCCAGCTCGAAATGCGATTGTTATTCGCCTTAATATGAGATGATTAAACAACTAACCAACTCCCAGGAATCATTTCTCCATGCTCGAAACTCTGCCATGAGAGCTTCGACCAAGCAGACGACTTCTCTACTCTACAAATTTAGAGAAGGATCCAATTAAAATAATCGTTTCCAAAGTTTTTTTTTCAGTCTTAGGGCCGAGTTCTTGACAGATCAGAAAGCCTACTCCAAGATGGGATATGCTTCCATGTAACTGTGAAATATGCAGAAACGAAAGAGGGTTGCAAAGCAAACTACTTTAGCGCTAGTAAAAACCACTAAGATTTAAGAAGTGATGGTTACTTCAGAAACATAGTTGGAAGTAGAGGGAAGTAGAGAGTTAAGTGAGATTGACATACCCATAAATCAGTCAGTTCTTTCAACTCTGACACGCCATCAAACGATGAAACACTATTGTAGGATACATCCACAATACGAAGCTTTTTCTGAAAACAAAAGCACTTTCCACGAAACAAAGTTTGCCTTTTACGTTTGTTTGCTGCTTACCATTGTTTCTCATAGACAGAAAAAAACCTGTTCAGAAACCTCTTTACGATTCGTTCAAATGAAGCCTCCAACACATCACAGGCGAACTTCCCACTCAAGTATCAATGAGAGAGGAGAAAATAGTTTCGAAAAATGTAGGGATAGTGTGTTGCTACGAATTGGTAACTCTATGACGAGGCTACTGAACTTGCAAACCATTTCTTAACCAAGTGACTTTTCCAACAAAATAAGAAAATGCGTAGAACTCAACGGAGTGCTGTCTGAAAAATCAACGAAGAAAAATAAATGGTTTCACGAACCAAAAGGCCAAGTGGAGAAAGGTCCTCAATCCCTTGGTCGTCAAGATAAATCTCTTGCAGTTCAGCAAGCGTTTCCAAGTTCTCAATTTTAGTAAATCGATTCGCCTGAAAGATTACTAAAGGCTCAAAGCTTGGTAACGCAAGTAAATTGAAAAAAGATGAATTGGTGAAAAAGAGAATATTACTTTCGAATAAACGTACCGGAAGGCTGAGTATCCTTAAATTTGTCAAGGTCTCAAGTCCCTCTAATTTCGAAAGTTTGTTTTTGCCAAGATATAGCTCTCGTAGTTTAACAAGTTGAGAGATATTTTCTATTCTTTTAATCCTTAAAGATTTTAATGGTAACCATTGTCAAAATATATAAATAATGCTACACGGACCTGTTATCACCCAATTCCAATAGCTCTAGCTCAATTAAAGAGTCGAGACCTTTGATTTCAGATATCTTATTATGGACTAGGTATAAATGTGTCAGCTTGGTAAGGGTTGAAAGCCCATCAATTTCACGTATCCTGAAAATAAACTTTCCTAAATCTTCGCACCGGTAGACAGCATAAAAAGAAAATACCTATTGAAACTGAGATCCAGCTTCTTGAGGTTAACCAGTGGCTCCAGATTTGCAATTGCATCGATCTGATTCTCATACAAATCCAATTCGGTGAGATTCGTAAGAGGGCACAGATTAGAGCCCATAGTCTTAAGCAAGTTAGTGCGAAGAATTAGTTCCTGAAAGTAGTTTTCAGTATAACATTTCCGTTACATGAATGTTAAGTAAACTCTCAGTTAACTCGAAGACCATTTCAGAAGATATCCACTGGAGCCAATTAAAAATAGGGACGGGAACACACATAACAATGCCCTCACAATCAAACTTTTTGAAAGAAACAGTGAAAAAGCAAAATACCTTCAAATTTGTAAACCGTGTAAGGTCCGGAATATGGTCAGCGCGGGTGTGGTTCAGCTCGAGAGACTACAACAAGCGGAGTTTTCGCAAATATGAAATAAAAATGAATCTCAAAGCTCACTTCAGTATCATCCGCAAACTGTTCCAAGTCATAATCGTTCTTTAGAATGGCACCTTTGTCTTGCTCAGAGCCTTCTCTGCTGTGCTCTTCATCGGTATGCTCAAAAGGTGAATGAGTTTCCTCGGACATCTAAATTTATTTATTAATACACTAGCAAGTACTAATGATGAAAGCGTAATCGAGCACGATATTAATACACATCGTATACATCTTTGAGCAGAGCAGCCTATATTTACATAAAGACATCTATTTCTTCTCGAAGGGATCGGACCAAACACGTTTGCCATATGCAAAATCTTCTCGAGTGCCTCGTAATTGAGCCCTTTCCATCGCCTGGGCATTCTTGTAGTAGTCGTTTTCTATTTTGGGATAGACGGTTACCGCGAAAACTGCTGCACCGGTCAGCACCACTGTGCTGATCACAGCGATAGTGCCAAGAGTTGGTCGTGAAAATTTGCTCAACAGCGGCATCTTGTTTCGCAAACCAAGCCAAAATGGCACTGGAGCTCCTGCTGGTATCCGCATTGTTGCTAAAAACAAAAAACTTAGCAAAAGGTGGAAATCTCCATGTAGACCGGCATAGCATCTGAACGAAGAATAAAAGCAAATCTTCAATTTACAAGAGACTCAATCAAAAAAAGGGAAAGGGAACACACTTGAAGTCACAGCCAAGATTACTACATAGAAACGTACGGTGATAATAGACAGATAGCGAAAATCCTCTGAAAACCTAGCAATACGTCGGAGTTGCAGTTGAAAACCTCGATTTTCTCAAAAACCGACAAAACTTTTGAGTCCCAGCATGGACCTATTTGCTTCACGATCTTTCCACTATCTCAATAATGCCACGGTATTCCCAAATGCACCATATCAAGCCCATAACATGTGAACAGAAACCCGTTTCCCACTTAAGTTCGATGCTTCTGATACTCGCCCGAATCTTTTCTTGCTGAGCTATTATTATTTTCCCCCNCCCCCCCCCCCCCCCCCCCCCCCCCCTTTTCACCGGTGAACCCTTCACGTGGTAAGGAATAGGTATTCGAAGACGTGAGAACCACTAATAATTCCTCTACGTGGTAGGAATTGGAGTCTGAGCCGACATAAAGACCACAAGCAATAAGAACCACTCGCATTGCAATGACAGCCACCGTCACAGCTCGGCGGCTTAATCATCTAATGGTTGTTGTTGCAGTTTCGGAAGACGTCATAGTTACAAATGATGATGTTCGGAGCGGAAAACCGGCATAGCTGCATACAGGGCCTACTGGAAGTCGCCAAACAAAGAATGGACGGACGGAGTAATTGACATTTGCAAAGGGTTAAGGAAGTCTTTGACGTTAATTCATCCCCTTTAAAGTGACCCCGCTACATACTCCAAGACAAGTCCGGTACCAATTAGTTGATTCCTAAACGAAGGTGAAGGGTTTGGATGGCCTAGGCGCGTATAAAGATAACTTTAAATGACGTGAATAACAGCTAACCAGCCTCCTATACGATTTGCCGATCCTTTAAGAGATCAGGCTTAACGGATGACATCAATCCGATTAGCTAATTGCTCGATTGTTCTTATCTCTAGTACTCGTGAATGCATCCAAGAACTAGATGTATCTAATCTAGAAAGCCGGATTTTATGCGCAAAGTGAGCCAAGAAAGCAATTTACTAAATGTTGTACACCATTCCTTACTTTCTAAGAAATATCAAAGACAGACATAATCCGTAAGAACAGCTGTTTTATGTTAATGAGTAGTCAATCTCCTCAAAATAGTATATTAAGATGCTTAGCTAGCTAGCTCTTCGAAACACTGCTCATGCATAACGAATAACTCAACGCAACGAAGGCCCAACAGACAAGAGTTCAACGCTTCGAGAATACTTCAAAAAATTGGAGCACTACAGATAACTTCGACATGTGGATTTCACCAAAAAGAGTATTCACCGCTATGGTGAAATGTGACTGTTCACTACGAACAGGAGAAAAACACCAGAAAATGTGACGAAAACCTTAAAATAAGTCACCTACGAGTGATCCTCTTGGAACGTTGAAAGCCACTGTCAGCCGCGTACGGGAACATTTAAATAGCCTTCGAGACAAAAGAAAGGGAGAAAGGAGTAGGCAACCAATTCACATGTAATGGGAACAATCAGGAAACAGAATGGGGAATGCAAAAGATGAAAGGATTCGAAGTAAGCGCCTCCATGTCAAAAAAGAAAAAGAAGATTGTTTGCGTTCGGACAGAAGATTATCATTGGAGCGCTTTTGCTAAGCTCAGTTCATGCAAGAGCTCTTATTTGTTAATGTTAATTATAAACAAAAACATGATATATTAAAACATGATATGATATTATGGGATAAAAATTGAAATTACGAAGGTCCGGTGAAGGTTTGTAGAAGATACATGCGACTGCAAAATATAGGAACTGTCAGGGTATAAGCCTAAACCAAGAATCTTAGCGAGGTTATAGAAGGTCGGATAGGCAAGAAGCTCGTGTGTTATTTACTTATTTATTTATTTGAGTACGCGGAAACATATCGTGCTATAGAAAGCGAAACAGTAAGAACGGAACTGTGCCCTCAAGGATCTCAGAGAATAGAAGTAAGACGTGAGGGTAATGGAGATACATAGGTTAAACTATGTCAACTAAGAGATGGCGAATGGGTAAGGCGGCAAAAAAGAAATGGAGGATAAAATCCGGACATGATCTGAACGTTTTTAGCAGTGACAACAGTTGCGGTTGATTGAACAATAAACTTTTTCGCCTTTCACGACACCTTCCACGACGATCGCCATTCTCCGTCGTTCCGTCACTCCATCCAGGGGGCTTGCAATTACCGAAGCTAAAGAAAGTGAAGATTACTACATACAGTGAGAACTGGGATGCCTTTTCTTAAGGAAGGTTCCGCCTCATTGAAGCTGTTTGAGGGGAACGACTTCGCTCACAATCATTATGCTGCTAAAATCGTTACGGACATTAGCCTGAAGCTTGACGAACAACCGCGTCTGCTCTCCATTCCACCATGACGATCGCAAAACAGACAATCCATCGAGGGTTCCTCTATCTTTGTTTTACTTGATGCCATTATTGACGATATTTCAGAGGTCGCTACTGTAGTAGCAGAGTACTTCTAGAGCAAGTGCAAGAAATAGTGCTTTTAGCTCTGCATCGACTTTGATCCAGGACACAGGACGGCCACGTGCGGTCGATTACGGTGAAGGCTCCTGTTGACCAGTCCAATCGACTGGCCACGATCGTCATGCTTCCAGGGAACCGATTTCGACGAAAAAAATCACAAATCGTCAGGACGTAAACTTGGTCGGCGATGCCTTGATCACATATTTTCCCTAACTCTTCTGGAACCAAGGTAATGCTGACCTCAACCCTACCCACCTGGCTCTACTCAAGTTACACTTCCAGTATATACAACCAGTGAAGAAAGATGAAAGCTGTTCAGCCACAACAGCCTTGAAATGGATCCCATAAGAAGTCATAAGTGCAGCACAGTTCAAGTTTTTGCGGTGTTTACTGACTGTCCATATGACAGAGAAATATTTATTGAAAATCAACTATAGGCGAAGAACAAGTGATTGACAAGCTCCACCGCCTTTTATGAATTCACTCATATCAAGCTCTGTAACGTTCAGCTGGCGTAGTGCTAACGCTTCTCGAGTGGTTTTCGTTACTCCTATAGGTGCCAATACCGTATTGCGTATAGCAATTGAGTTACAGACGAAGGCATTCGCTTCCGCTTCAGACACGGCAACGGAACGTGGTAGACGTCGCATTATCTGAACTTGTACAGAGTAAAGCAGATGGGCTTGAAAACTCATGAGACGATTGCAAGTTATCATTTTCAAAATGGTAAAAGCAGTGGTCATAGGTGAAGCGTTCACAGGCCCAGTTCACTATACTTTTTGGGTACCTACTTCTAAACGAATAATACAAGAGACAGTTCAGAGTATTGCAGAAATGGTGAAGAAAACAGAGAAATTGGCGTATTTTGAGAAGTGTAGGACTTTAAAAAAGTAGTAAAATCAGAGGTAGGACGGGAAGGCAAAAGTTGCATTGAAGGAGCATTCAGACGAGCTGCCCAAATGTGTGTGCCACTGTTTACAGCTGGATACAGTAGGCTGCCTTCGTGCAACATATGCGTGGTGCCAATGGTGCAAGCTGTGCAGCCTTTACAACGCCTTGAAAACTCGTCCGCCCCTAGGTAAGTACGTCTGCCGAGCCGGTTTTTTAGAACCCTTTTAACGCACTGCTAAAATCGTTTTTCAACCCGAATTTCGTTTTTTTTTTGCGCTATCCTGTGGATCATAGGTCCATTCTAGGAAGATATCTCAAAAGCCAGTTACACATTCGTGAAGCACTACGGTTCTGAACATTGGTGGAAGACATGGAGCTAGCTTGACCTATAACAAATTTATTACCTCTTTTTTACTTCGCTCGGAAAACGCTGGCGGATACCAAAGGGCGGTAGTCTGGTTGACTGGCGTAAAGCATGTATCCAAATGGTAGAAATTGGGATGAACTAGTTCGCATATAACGATGTCAAATCCGCCCAATACTCTGAGCTTCTCGTATACCTGAATTAGACGTCTTGATAAACGAGCTTCCTCCATCTCCTAAGACGTTCGGCCTCTCCACTCGCCTGTCTATCGGATCTTGGGCCATATCCAGCCCAAAGCGTTTTACTATCGGAAAATACGGCATCGCAACCTCCTTCGAAGAATTCCGGGTAGTCGTCGCCAAATACGTGGAGACCCAGCGATTTGAACCATTTCCGATAATGCGGCTCTTCATCACATCTGCAACTCTCTTCATATCAACGACGTCATCGAATGCTACCAATCCATTTTAAACTTAGGCGGAGGTGATAAAGTGGCAAGTAGCGCACTATCACTTACGCATGGTCACAGGTTCAAATTCCGAATAGATATCCACCTGAACCGACCAAGCTTTCAATCCTATGGGTTCAGCTAACTGGTACCTAGGTTCCGTTCTCAATACGAAAGGGCTCATACACCGAGCCTTCTTTGGCTCGTTATTAGTCCGTATCACATCTGATCAGTCCCTATTAAAAACATCCAAAGTACCTTTCAATCCCACACCACATATCAAGGTAACAATGCTCTTCCATCAACACGAGGGAGGTGAGGGACCCTATAAGTCTCATCTACTAAGGCTCCTTATCAGTCCTATCAACTCAAATCACTTCCTATCACGTGCCATCAGTGCTCCCATTCTGCCGCTTTTATCCCTTCTTGAACCTGATAGGTACTCGATGGGTCTTGACGCTTTAGGTCCACTAGAATATGGGTAATGATCTGTTGCTGAAAATCTCTGTCGCGCACGCCCCGCCTCCTGAAGGCGGGGTCTGGTGTTACTACCTGCCATGAGTGTTCCTATCCTATCGCCTGTATTCCTGTCAGATTTGAACGCTCTAGGCCCACTGTAACAGGAGTTATGAGTTTCCTATAAGTCACACACACCGATCCAAAAATTGACCAGAGGGAGGAATTGTCACGAGAATTCAAGACATAAGCTACATCGCATCGAACACCACCTAGCGACATGCTGAGAACATAGCTGTCAAAAAGCGGAACCGCATGCAGGCTTTTGATCGGTGGTGCCATGATATCAATCTCCATGGTATCTCCCAGCATGGCTCTAGCACCCTTGTAGAACGATGTTCTATAGTTGCAGAGTAAAAATAACAATCCCCCTTTCCGAGATATGTATCACATAGATATAGTAGTCCAAACGCGTGATCCCAAACAATGACAGGAGAGAAAATCAGTCTTGAAATCATTTGTTCAATATGAGTAAGAGCCCATTGTTAGTTACCTTTCTCTATGTCGGAATCGGCTGAGATATACTCTGTTATTAAGAATTAGACCAGAATGGCAAACAAAAACTTGGTCCGAAAGGCCGGCTACTTGATCCATCGTTAGCACCTAAAACTGAACTACTGTAATCAAGCACGATTGTGAAATATAACTTGCATTTCCGTTCTGTGCGTGGTTTCGAGTCCATTTCGATATGAAAGTTCATGATAAACTCCAGAGGATACGAGGAGCCACTACCTTAGAATAAGAGGTAGGAGAATTTTTGAAAAGGCCCAGTTCACAAAAAATTATTCCTATGGATTCCTGGGAATACACAGTGACCTCCGAAGGTATCACAAAGGAGCTGTCGAGACAAATTTAGATAGGGCATAATATTAGCCCCATTATGGATTCGCCGACGTCCATTGACAGAGGATATCAGACGGGTTCAAGGCGACACAGGTTGCGCTACTCGTGCAAGGACCCACTAGTTCAGCATACGATCAGTTGACCGCCGAGTGGTGAGAGGAGGAAGTTCTGCTGTTATTCTGTTATCCTCTTTTATTCTGTTGACTGCTGCGCTCATTTTCAAATTCTCTATCTCACGAGAATGAAAGAGTGAGTTATTTCCCCTGTTAATCGTGTTTTTGTTAGCCTATGCTAAGATCTGAATGAATCCAATGAAAGTTTTTGCTTACTGTAGTCAATTGTACGCAAAGACACACATTGCATAGCTCGCCCACAATCCTTCTACGTCATTTTTTGGTCTTATTCTCGTCCAGCTAACAACTTGTTTTGAAGCTTTTACCTCTTTAAAAACACCAATTTTCTGCTTTCTTCGCCTCCATCGCACTATTTCCAACATTCTTTTTCATTCATCATAATCTCGATGACCCAAAATTATCGTGAACTGTGCGTTTAAGGAACTAGTACAACATAGATTTATGTATGTTCACAGTTTTCGCTAGGCTTCAGCATACATCTGTATGATAAATAAAAGGAAGGCTAAGTGATGACGCTATGAAAAAATACACTTCTGATATTACGGTACACCATGAAGACATTATTATACAGCGCTCACCTCCACCCCTTCCTTTTCGATAGCCGATTTCAGTGATTTCCATTGTTCGAATGCTCTATTTTCATCGATCGCTCCTCCCATCCATGGATTAATTTTATACTGAACATTCCAGGATCAGTAGCAATCGACTGTACAAACAATTAACAAACCTCAATATTATAATGCTTTGGAGTCACCATCAGAACACGCCTAAGCAGCTGTTCTGCCAATCGCGACATTTTTGTTTAACGAATGAACGTGACTCTTATTTCTATTATTTGTCCAGCTCGACTTTGTAGTGCAGTTTCAAGCGTTGCCTTACATACTCTGAAAAAATTCAAGAACTACCATGGTAATACAATTCCTGCGGAGTAACATCGTTTTGACCCCCTTGCACCTGCGAGAATCTCTTGCTCTCTTGTCTTCTATGGTGTATCTGTCCATTTCTTTAAGTACAACACCAAACCGTATGGATGACCGACAACTAACTGAATGGTTGTTTTTATAATAGTGTGATTATGTAATCTTTAGCAGAAGTTTGACTAGCCTGATATCACATGATCTTTCGTTTTCGCAGTCACTTTAGCGGTGCTTCTCTGAAGAGACGAAACAAACCGAGAAGACACTAAAAGGCTCTTAGATTTTGTAGAATTTCACAGACAACGTAACTCTTCTCAAACATGATCCTACCGGAGGGCGGAAGCGGATGGAACATTCACCCAAGTCTTGACGGACGCGGCAAACCTCGCGGCGGTGGTGATTTATACGAGTCTGGCGCCTATCACTGGTGCACAACTTCGAAGTAGGGTAGATACGTAGCATCAGTTGGCCCTACTTATGCGATCTACTTCAAAGTTGTGTCCCAATGATAGACATCTCAGTAGTTTAGATCACAACGAGTTTCGCCGAGCAGTATGCCGCGTCCATCCAGAACCGTCCGTCATTCCCCTACCCGTCCGACCGTCGGTATGCAAGAGGGGTTCGCGTGGTGGCGTAGTATTGAGGTCTTGAAGTTGCAGATGTCACCTGATCTGAAGGCACAGTCACAATAAGCAAGAGGTATTTTTTCACTACGAGTCTATGACGATGAGAATGTTTGCAGTGTGGAGAGCCGGCTATAGTGAGCGTAAATTGCTCCCCATAATTGCCATGAATCAAAATCCTGAAATTCATAAACCATCTGTTATCTAGGGCTTAAGTGATCAGGCTGAAAACTTACACCAGTTCATATACCACAAATGCATCAAGATTTTGATTTCACCACAAATAGACTCAGGGGTTGCAATAAATTTTCAAAGCTATTCAGAGGAGAATGTTGTTAAACACATACCTCGATCTTTTTTGTCTCTGATGATGTATGTCTCTGACACAAAGATGTATTCATCGCGATTGTAAGGAGACATGGTGGAGAAGAATTGAAGTATCCATGACCATTCTCGAAGGCAGCGGTAACGGCACAGTCACAGGAGTAGTAGTTCACTCCTTCTGACCACAACGTCCAACAGCGCTATGGTCAGAAGGAGTGAATTACTACTATGTGAGCTACACTATGTTCGTTGAATCCTGACTACTTTTGAGAAAGTAAGTAGCTGGTTCTTTTCCTTTGTCCTCCTGAGCATAATCTCTGTAATGATGCTGGATAGAAAACAGATCAATTTCTTGATTATGACACCGACACTGTGGATTCAGCCTGTTGTGACGAGGTGTCTCATGCTGTTCATATCGGCGTTCCCGGCAAGAGGAATGCTAGAATGCCTGCTGCGGGCTGGAAAAGGCCTGTTCACCTGACGCCAAACCAAACCCCCATACCACAAGGTGTCCACAGTACTTTCGGGAATAATCCCGCCTGTCCACACAACAGTAATAAGACGCTACCTTTACGATGTAAGGGTATAACATGACAATACTTCATCTGTTGGCAAACAGTGAATGGACTACTATGATGCAATAACATTACACCGAATATATGCTAAGTAAAACAAACTACACCATGACTAACCTGGATTTAAGACGGAGTGCGCAGAGGAGATGGATTGGATAGCATGCGATGATCGACAGTAACGGGAAAAGCTCACGGGACGAAGAGAAGGGAGCGCGTGACGATCCACCAGCCGGCCTGACGACTACAGACGAACGACTAATGGGACAGACCGATGCGAAGCGAGATGACGAGCATATGAATAACTTCCCGCGCTCCTGGCAGACTCCGCCCTTCGCGGTGAGACCGACTTCCAGTGGATCCGGGGCGCGGTTTCCTCCCGACGCATGCTCTAAACCCGAGTGGGGTCGTGCGGAAGCGACGACAACGCCGCTTTCATACAGGTTGTTTGTTGAAGCGATAAATTTCACTATTCCAGTTCACAGAAAATCACGTCTTCAATCATTTCTGATAACCAATGCATTATCGTTAAAAGAAGAAATTGAGGCAGTCTTCCAATTCCACCATCTTCTGATGTTGTAATCTCTGGATGCTTGTGATAAATTCCATTAAAATGATACTTAGGCAACGGAATATCTAAAAAAAGAATGGAAAAGAAATCTTTATGAAAAGACGATGTGAAATTTCCAAGGGCTTGTTTTCTTCAGTTGTTTTCTGCGGAATGATGGCAACAATCGAGGGTCAAGTAGGAAGTACTAACCACCCTCCATATTACAAAAATGAGATCAATTCCACCCATGCAGTTAGAATTTTTTTATTCGCGTCAGAAAAAGGAGGACAAGGCCGTGTATGAATTATTACAGGCATAAAGTAATGATTGTTTAATCCAAGGAATCTGGACTAACCTCTTAAACCGTAACACTTTACTTCACCTGGATTCTAGTTAGATATAAATGAACAAGATGGGAAAGGGTTTCTGGTGCTGCAGTAGAAGCGACTCCTATAAGCCATGAGAGCATCTTTGTTACTAATATAAGCATGATTCTAAAATTAGGGAGCATGCAAAAATGTATGCACTTGATTTTGCTGCTTCTCGCTTATATATGCTCACTTTCACAATGATTGTTCTAAAATAGACAAGCGCATGAAATATGTATATGTACACAGCGTGAGGTGGTGACGAATCAGGTGCTAAAAACGGCGCAAGCGGAACCATCGTTCCTCTTAAGCACCATAACAGCTTTAAATGAATTTTTCTCCGAAAACGATCCTCTTTGGAGACGCTGGTAGGGAAGAACTTGGAACACTTGCAAAGCTAAAAGCTAAACCGCTTCATGGCGTCCTCCAGCTGCTGTCGGAATGTTTTCTTATTGTGATAAAGTTAGAGTGTGAATAAGGATTAACTAGGAGACGAGGCGAACACGCATTCCATAATTTCTACAGATGAAGCAGTCCATTGAGGGGCAACCTTTTTTTGTCATTGAAATGGATTTCATTCATTCGAAATAACCATTAGGAATAGATAGATGAGTGTAATGAACATCAGGTTATGAACATTTTTGCTCAGGAGTCAAGTAAGAGATACTCTCTTTGAAGTAAAACCTTGTTCCTGTCATCATTCAAGGAGTAACCTTCCTTTTTCCAAGCTCTAGGTGATTGACTGCACTTGAAATCACAGCAAGACGGAGCATTGACGGAAAGCTGTTTAGCGATGGCCTGATACACTCTTTATTCGTAGCTTAGCGCTCATCGACACTTGTTGCACTCATTGCGAGAGCCTTCCATTGAGACCCATGGGGCATGTTAGAAAATTTCTTAGTAGTACGGAACAAGTTAGTACTGCCCACTTTACTGTTGGTTGCTACTGAAGCGAACACGCTTAAGCAGCTGTTCTGCCAATCGCGGCATTCCTGATTAACACGTTGATGACGAGAGCGTTTTTCGTTTGCGCGCCCACGGGACGAGACCGTTTGAAGGCGCTGACTAATCGTCGGTTACCATTGGCGGACCTCGTCCCACGGGACAGACACCTATTGAATTTGTTG